GTAGAGCACAAGTACTGTCTGCAATCCTGGCAGTAGTATTTTACCTGTTCATCCTTTTCACAAACACTACATTTCATCTGATCTCTCTCTGAAAATTGTTCGATAGTTTCTAATAAATTATTTAGAAAGGTATTTGGTGGAAGCTTCTGAAGCCCACCCTCCGGAATTGTATATAATTTTGAGCAAGTTGGGCAAGTCAGCTTACCCTTAGTCTTAACCCAATCTTCCAGGCATGCCAAACAGAAACTATGGAGGCAGTTGAGAGATTTTGGATTTTGAAGTCTCTTAAAGCAGATGGTACACTCCAAGACCTTCTCATCAACATTTTCCAGAAATTGATCCAACTTACTGGTAGCCATCTTAAATTGAAATCCTGTGAATTAAAAAATATTTTTGACAATTATTGTTTAGGATAGATACATAATAATAATAATATTAATGTATACTTATATACCTTATAATGTGCCAAATGGTCAAATAACCCCTATTAACAGGATACTTAAATTCTTTTCATTGTAACCCTTATTAAGGGGACACATACATTTTTTTTCATTGTACCACAACAACTACAACAATCTAAAAAAAAACTTTAAATATCGACACCTTTTTGAACAATGAAGCAGAATTTTCTCCCTTAGTTGGAGAGAACATAGGTATAGGCCTTAAGCCGGGCTTATGTTGCCCCTACGACTCAACTCAACTGACATCAATTGAACTTTTGCAACTGAGAGCACTGAGATTTGTGCGACTGAAGGCTACATAAGTGCTCCTGCGATTGAAAGCAACTGAAAATACCCAGTTGCTCTCAGTTGCCCACGTGCTCTATATTCTAGCGATTCAAGGCAACTGAAAATGCTAACAAAGTTATGTCTACCAAAATAATTTGACATGGTTTATGTAATGTAATGGCGTTTGCAAGACTTGTGAAATACTTTATTTCATGTAACAAATCATAAAAGACTATTATAATGCCTATTGTAGTCATAATAGGAAGCTTATACAAATGTACAACCATTGACCATTGGCCATTTTGCGATTTTAGTAAACATTCTTTTCAGACATTATTTATAGGTCATTAGAACATGATCTCAGGGCTGCTGGAAATAAATCCATAGTAATATTGGCGTTATTAATATGATTAGCAAAATTGAAGTTTCGCTAATCGCTAGCAGGGAAACAGTTTTAATTGAAAATATTTAGCCATAACAATTAGTCTGTATTCTGAGGGAAGTCTGTACAACATGTTTTATTTTAAATGGTAGGTAAACAAAGGTAATTGATTTTTAGGTAGAAACTTTAAACAGTTATAATAATTAATAAATTTCGAAATGTAAAATTATTTATAGCAATTGATAGCCAATTAAGTATATGCATATTTTCTCTTGTTTTCCATTTTGATAACAACATTCATTGTTTTATAATAACTTATATATGCATATTATGGTTATATAGATGTAGGATTATTGCTTTTATTTTTACATTTTGAAAAAGTATTTATATTTAATAATTTTAGTGAATTATAGTTTGCTTTGGCAATAAATATGCCAAGTTTATAGACCCACACAATACAATTGATTGGCGACTGTTTTTGAGGGTTTCACGAAACATAATACAGGGAGGGAACCCTAAGTATTTAAGGTAATACACAAATTGAATTTGAATTTTAACTTTGGAAAGTCAAATATTTTGGTATGGGAAAGAAACAGAAAATATCTTTGGTGGATAATTATGTCCCACAGAAATTAATGACTGTGTTGAGTACAAAATTTATGAAAATGTGGGACTATGATACTGTGTATCGACCTCCATCTATGAAGTTGTGTCCCTGCCCCCTCCCCACCCCCCCATTTCCTGGACTGCCACTGACAAAAAGATTTAATACTGTTTATATTATATCTTCAAAATGTATTAAGACCTCAAAATATCAAAAATATCTGTGCTCAATGGAGCTCCGCCCCCGAAAAGGTTCTGTTGCTTGGTAGACCATAGTCATTTTGGTCCACTTTCCACAAATTTGCACCTACCCAATAAAAACCTGTGTACAGGCCTGATTTAGTATTAATGTCTTACACGTTTAATATTTAGTAGGCCTGTATACCTCTATCAACATTTTTTTCATCTCAGATAACATAATAATTTGCTTCAGTATTTTAATTTGTTTGAAGCATTAAGATATTGATTGGATCTATTGCACTGAACAACATAAATTAATAAAATATTTACCTTAAAATTTTCTGTTAAATTTTAGGTGTGCATGAAATGTCTGCAAAAATAGAAATGGGTTTTTCCAGGTTAGTCATGTGACCTTATAGGCTGGTTTCTTTGTGAGTGCAATCAAGCATGACATGATGAAATCAGTCATGCAGTGACTTAGAACTGCTGTAAAGTTGAGGTACTGTAGCGTATTCATTGTTCTAGCTGATATCAATCCAAGTCAAACTTATATTCAGGTTGCAGTTAAAAATAGGCTCCCAGTGGGAGCATGTGTCTACTGCCTTATACAGGAGTTTTTATTTTTGAATTTAATCTTACGTTCTTCAATATGCAGATGTGTTTGTCATTGTAGTGTATCTGAATTTTTCGTGAAAATTGTCTTTCATAACAATATTCTGTATACTACTAGGCCCACTGTATTATTGCACTAAAAACACTAAAAAAGATTAATTCTTGGAATCACCGCGTTATGTCATTGATCTCGAAAAGTACTACCATATTCTAGAAGGCGTCCTTTAAATGATGGTTAAAGGCGTTCATGACGAACGCGTGCTGCGTCTCTGTAACGCATGTTCAAATTTGAACGCAATTAAGTTTGAATTCCAAACGCTATTCGATTTTCAGTAGAGCGCCCCCCACCTGGTGGTAGTAGTACCCATCATTCCTCCACCGGATTTACCCTTTTCTGCCATTTTTAATTGCTACATCATGACATAGTGTCTATGGCCCCCGATGGGGGCACTTGGACATAAAAACAATTCTATTTATGTTTACAAATGTGTAAAAAATGACAAACAAAAATCAATGATCAATCAACCAACAATTTAAACATTTGATTTGGTTAAATTTACATATGTATAAAGACTAAACAATTAAAATTATATAAAAGGCAGAATAAAAATGTGTATAAAGACAATTAATAATTAATGAAAAAAATTAAGTAATATAAAAATAATTATAAAAATCAAAATTTAAAGGTAATTCAAAATTGAGGGATTTCACTGTTCCCTGAAACAAATAATAACAATAAAATAATAATTCAATAAATGGATCCTCATCCATGCAATTAAAAACCCTTTATTACTTACAGTGCACAGTACTGAAAATGGAGAAATTGAAGATGTCAAACATTTTTTACTAAATTGTCCCACTTACAATATCATTAGAAAACAACATTTAACAAATCTTGAAAATGACCTACTCTGTAACGATTATGATACATGGACACTTTTTTCAACAACAAATGATGATATTAAAATTAAATTATTTAAATTATTCAGTCTTCTAATATTTGTGATACCTCTATTTTTGATAATTTCTGTAAAAATACATCATGAATGCGTGGGAGAAACGCTCACAACTAAACAATTCACAACAATAGTATAAATGTATTTTTGCTTATTAAATTGTGTAATAATATTTTTGTTGTAAGACGTTTTAATCTTTAGATTATTTTTAGGTTAGTTATTTTAAGTATTTACATTACAGTAGACCTGTATTTCTGAGTATGAAATGTGATTTTTTTTATCTCATCTTTCATCTCATGGGAAAATGTTTAATATTTTTCGGATAAAATTCCACATTATTATAAATGATTTGATGAAGAGGCCTGCAAACTTACAGAGAGTGATATGCAAAAAAATGTGAAGGTCTAGAAGTTTACAGAACTCTGTTTTGCTTGTTTTGATCCTAATGCACATTAAATTATTTTTTTTATTCAAGATCTGAAAATATCCAGAGGTGACGGAACTAGGGGGTGCTGTGTTATGGAGAGTCATGTGTGACTGGAAATGGCTGCATCAGTTGGTTGTTATCATGTGCCAGTGATGTTGGAGTATATCACATTCAAATTCAAAGACAGTACAGTACCATTATGAAATCACATGTAAGGACACATACAGGGGAAAGACCTTATGAATGTGAACATTGTGGAAAGAAGTTTAGTAGAAGTGACACTTTGAAAATACATTTAAGGATACATACAGAAGAAAGACCATATGAATGTGAATATTGTGGAAAGAAATTTTATCAAAATAGCAATTTGAAAACTCATTTAAGGATACATACAGGAGAAAAACCTTTTGAATGTGATTATTGTGGAAAGAAATTTTATCAAAGTAGCAATTTGAATACTCACTTGAAGATACACAAACGAAAGCAACCTTTATAAGTGTGAAAAGAAACTAAACACAGTATCAATTTGAAAACTCATTTGAGGATTCAGAAGATAAATCACTTGAATGCGAACATTTTGAAACATTTGTGATTTGAGGCTGCAAATAGGAAAAATGTGATCATTGTGAAAGGAGATTCCATGCAAGTGTGGTAATTGTGGAACAAATTTTTAATCAAATTTGAACATTGAAAAACATGTGTATTTTATACAGCACAGACACCATGTGTATGTGAACATTGTGGAAAAAAGTTCAATATGAATAACACTTTAAAAAACATTTAAGGATACATAACAGAAGAGAGACAATTATGAATGCGACATTTGTGGAAAGAAATTTAGAAACAGTTTATCACTTTGAAAGTACTTTAAATTTAAGAGTGTGCATACACAATGTTAAGAATTCTGTAGGTAAAATGATTATCTGAAAAGAAATTTGATATCATATTTTTAACAATGTGGAAGAATTTGAAAAGAATGTTTATGCAATTAAAAGAACACTTGTGTACATACCAAACATAAATTGGAAGAAACATGAATCTAATTAATTTGAAGTTATGCTGTAGTACTGTACCTAGCAATTTTAAAAGACAGCTAAGAAAATATAAGGAATGATTTTGCATTGGTAAGAAGAATTTAAAGACGTATAATTTGATCTTTTCCTATCCTTGATAAAATCTTTTGAGAAATAATTAATTTTATTAAATTTATCATAGTATTGTGTAGACTGGGTTCCAGTCCCTAATCTTTCTCTTAATCAGTTGAAATGCTTAAGAATAAATCGAATTTGGCACAAATGGTGTTCCATATTACTTATTTGCATGGTGTTCCATAGTATACTTTTCAATTCTCATCAAAAAAGGTTTCTCAACATAAACTGACGCTGGTGGCGCTTTCCGAAATGCGCTAATACTACGAAAAACTTATCCATAAATTAGAGACTTGTAAACAGGTACAGTACTTGTTTTAGTAAAATTTAGTGTAATTGTATCCGCAACTGAAGAAGAAAAAAATAGCTGATAGTAGTTGTTTTGGTGCTTGATGTTTGTGGTCATGTAATACACAGTATTTATTTAATTCACTCAATAAAACTGAGTTATCATCAATTGGAAAATCTGTTTGTTAATTTACTAGTGTTGATGAAAATTTTGAAGAAAAAAGTCAGTGATTTAAAAAAATATGTAGGATGTTGCTGTACATACAAGAGAGATGTCATGAGAATGTGAATTGAGGTTTAATGAAATTGGGATACACATGGAAGAGACATTATTCTGAATGTGTGTGTGTTTCTTTTTTTTATTTTTTTTATTTTTTAATATGTTTAAATGCATGCATCAATTTTGAGATCACACTTGATGATACAAGAGAGAGAGATCATGTGAATTTTACGGGGAATTTTCTTATCATTTTTTAAATCGTCTGCAAGTCAAGACTTGGTTTATGCACAAGTGCAGATGCTTTATTTCTAGGTTTTTATAAAACGATACCACTTTTCATTTACATCAGTTGTTTACATCAACTCGAAGGTATTATTGCATGCAGTAACCAATGCAATTTAACAAAAGATGCACATCTCCACACGCGAACGTTGTACATTATTGATACATAAAACGATACAAGTTGCGAGTACATCCGTTGGTTATTAATCTGTGTGTCATATATTTTGATGGTGTTACTATTTTATTATTATTTATTTCGAAATGTCTGTTACATCTGATTTGTTTTGACCACGAACTTTTTAAGTGCTTCTCTATAAACTACAATTTGATTCGTGAAAATTGACCAACAAAATTAAAAGTTAAAGCAAATGAAAATTTACTATTTTTTTTTGCATTTCAACAATGTTGTGACAAAAGGAAAATTTTCGAGTAGATACAGAAAATGAATGTTTTCTGCGGCGAACGTGTTTCTCATTAACCACTGGACACCACCTCATCTATACTAAATAATTGTTGAAATAAGGAATATAATTGCAGTATGATGTTAGTGCAAAAAGTCATTTTGCGCGATTCCCATGGCAACTGACATGCACGTGAAGATGCCAAGTTCAGTACAGTACAATTTCCCACTCGTATATACTTTTCCAGTCAAGACAGCCCATTTTTCCCCTTCTTAATTCATCTTAATCATCTGAGCGCATTATCAACGTTTTATACCTCATCCACCTCTACAGTACTTTCGACCATGAGAAATTAAAAAGAACATTTTACAATGAAAACAAAAAAAAGTGCCAGTAAAATCGTAACTTTAGTATCCCGGAATCGTGGGAGTGGCTTTGAAAGAAAGGTCTCTCAAATATATTTTATGTATATTTACGTGTTTTTTCTCAATTGTTTTCTGGGGCGGATGCAGGATTTAGCGATTGGGGTGCGTGCAAGGGCGCAGATTTGTTTTTTAAAGGGGGGGGGGGACATTTCGTGGAAATAGTACATGTAGATGGCCGGAAATGACACTTACGGTATATAGTAAATTTCATCATCACCACATCAATTTATATTAAAATGAAGAGCCAAAAAATTCTCACGATCTTTTATCATCGATATTCGGCAACCACAGAGACCTAATTAATGGGTGTGATGTACCATATTAAAATATAATTAAAAACATTGTCTTATTTATGTATTTATTTTATCTACTTCAAAGCCGTGAGTCCACAATGGGGTCCACAACCACCTCAGCCCCATCATGGTTAGGACTGAGGCGAGAAAATCGGAGGAAATAGTACCTTTAGAGGACCGGAAATGACACTTTTAGGCCTATAGATTAAAATTCATCATTACGTCACCAGTATAGTCTATATGAAGCGCCAGCAAATTTCTCATGATCTTTTATCAGGGATTTTCGGCAACCACCGAAATTTAATTAATACGAGTAATGTATCGGAAAAAAACTACATCTCAGCCCCACCATTTGGCGCGGAGGTGGTAACATTTGGGGAACTACAAATAGTTTCTCTAGATGCCGGATATGACACTCAGTCTTATATAGTAAAATTCATCATCATCGATCTAATTCACATCATTGATCGAGTTCCTAGTCCACATATCAAGCACCCTGAGCATCTTACATTAGATGGATGTGCGCTATATAAAACTACATTATTATTATTATTATTATTATTATTATTATTATTATTATTATTATTATTATTATTATTAATCACTGTTATCTACCCTATTCAAAGTTATCTTTAAAGTATTTACTTTACTTTATTTCTTGTGCCGAAAGCCAATCTTACATTTTCTCGTTTTTCTCATCTCATATTATAATAAAGGCACGCGCACCCGAGTAGCGTATTATAGTTAATTCAGGTGTTTGTGGGCAGATACCGGTATGTTGCTATAAAATGAGATGTACTCTGGCTGTACGGCGCTCTTTCCTTACAACTAGGGTCATTTATGTAGCTTTTTCCAACAATTTTCAGGCATCTTCTTGCCTTTGAAATTACATTGCAGACGAAAAGTGAGGGAGGCCCCTTAAATATATGTGGGGGACGTGTCCCCTGCTACACGGCGTTCTTCGTCAATGTCACCTTAAAAATATGTGGGGTACGTGTCCACTGCCCCTATGATCTGCGCCCTTGGGTGCATGAGAGTCCACACCACCTCAGTCCCAACATGGTTGGGGTGAGGTGCGAAAGTTGTGAGAATATAGACCTCTCTGGGTGCCCGTAAAATTGCACTCTCATACCTTAAAAATCTTGCCAGTAATTCATGTAAACAATATAATACAACAGTTATTTTTTTCAACACAATTAAGGGGTGCGCCAGCATTTTATGTATATCCCCATCTATTAGTTATGAACCCCATAAAGATGCATTTAGTGGATATGTACAGGGAGGGCCTACGGCCTACCTGACTTTCTGTTGGTCTTTTAATCTTGCACACGTTACTCTTATCTTCAAAAGGATTGAAAGAAAATATGGAAGGATATGAATTATAGGGGCGTCGGCAGGAATTCTTATTCAATGTGGGTGTGTGTGTAGCATAGGCCGCGTCCAGGGT